GACCTGTGCCCGGTAGACCCCGTTCAGTAATCCATCCATGAATCCAGTCAATGTATCAAAACCAGATTATCATGTTTGGGTGAAATATTCCTTTAATTCTTTTTGGATGAAATTTAATGAGTTTATCTTCCAGTCACATTTTTTTAAATATGGAGTTTTTTGCTCATATTTGAATTTTATGCCCAGAAAATGAAGCGGACTGCAAGTTTAAAAACAACTTTTGTTCTTCGTGTGTCATTTTTTTTCCCAAACTGAGAAACTAAAGTATTTTGTGCTTTTTTATTTCTGCTGTTTCTTCGTTGCGTCCAAATTCCAAAATGTCCGGAGACGAAATTGTAAAAAATAATTTGCACATTTGAAACTGGATGTGACAGAAATAAAATAAAATTAAAGGAACTAAAATAATGTTTTTAAAACAGATAAACAAATACAAATAACTGACCCGTCATAAGCCCCGCCCCTTTTGCGCTGTGCTCCAATGACAGTCGAGTTATTAAGCTACTGTTTTGCTAACATTAGGTATCAGATGTAACTAACGAGATAACAGTTGAAGCAGATTAGTTAACTAGTGTTTGTTCATTAGCCGACTTAAGATAAATATCTTATCTATATCTAATAAACTATAATTTGAGTTAAAATGAATTACGTCAAACATTTTAGGTAATGAACTCAGTTTTGTAGGTTAAAAAAAACCTCTGAAGTACTTTTTACTAGATGTTTTATATTCACAGTAAAAATAAAGAGTCTGTGTCACTTTAAAATTACTAAAGTTTAATGATCAAGAATGTTTCTTTAACGTTGTTAGTTTTACTTAAAATGTTTAATATAATCAGTTTTTTTTTTGGTTTGTTTTTACAAGTGCTCAACTGTTATTGGAGCACGGAGCAAAAAGGGGAGGGGCTTAGGAAGTGACGGACTTCCTGGTTGTGTCTGAGCGATTTCAAGGTAAAAACATAAAAGATCACGACACCGATCAAAACCGTCAGGAGATTTTTATTCTGAGACTTTCAGTTAGTCATCCTTCATTTAAAACATTTTGGCACTTTGGACACATTTACATTTCTAATACTGAGAACAATCTCACAATATTTTAATAATCATTAAATACACTGAAAGACATTAAATGAAAAATATTTTTTAAATTGTGTCAGACAATCCAGAAATCTCTTTTATATCGACATTCATGTTCAGGACCAAGAAACATGTATTTTAAGGTGTTTTTGTAATATCTATTTCTGTAATACTCTTCTGCTCTGTGCCTGTAAAGTAATTAGTTTTCTATCATATATGAGTAAAACAATACTGTATGAGTTAATGCTGATCTCACTGTCTAAAATTGCTGCAATTTAATATCTGATCATTGTAATATTCTGTCTTTGAATAAAGAAAATGTGCTGTTTCTTTTAATATTCTAGACTGCTCTGAATGTTTACAACCTCTTTCTACTTTACGTGAGTCTCCGACGTTTGCTCGTCACAGATTTCTTTGTATGGTTATCTGCAAGAGCACAACTGAGCACGCTCAGGCTTATTGGGAAGGTTAATGTTTCGGCATAGAGCTGATTGCAAATATTATAAATTCATGTTAAAGAACAGAAGCTACCAATATTCTGGACACTATCTGCACACCACACTGAACATATGTTTGATGTCCTGTCAATCACATTCAGTACAGAGAGATTCCTGCTCCATAAAACAGTCCCCACTGATCTCAGAGCCGATATGTTACAGACGATAACTTCAGTCTGGCCTCGTTCCTCTGGACGTCACAGCTCCTCCATAAAGGCTGGAGGCTGAAACAGGAAGCAGAGTTCAAACAGTGAGGATGAGTCGAAGAAGAGAAAGAAGACGAGCAGCTGACCGCCACAGTGGATCGAAGCTGATGAAGACCAGCAGTCAGACTGTAGAAAGCTCACAGATCAGGAAGAATTGTATAAAAATATCAGGAAAACTAATCTCTGATCAATATTCACAGGAAGTGATTCAGGCCAAAAGACAGTATTTTTCCTCAAGGACGTTGTAGAAAAGCATTTATTTTTATGTGTGAAAGAGCTGAAACTACAATAGTGACATGAAGAGGAAATGATGGCATTTGTTTTTATCAGCTTTAAATATCAGAAATGAGTCCATGTTTGTAAATGTATTTGCAGGCTCGACTGGCTCCAAGTACACAACATCTGAGAAGAGTGTTGGGAAGAAGGAAC